CTTTGTTTTGACATAAAGCAAAAGTTAAAAAAAATTATTTAATTTCAAACTCAAAAAAATATTAAAATAATCCATGTTTAGCTAAAATAGAGAGTATGATTGAAGTGACTCACTAAAAAGTTACTAGCTAAAATAGTGTTGTATTCATTTTAATTAGAATTTAACTAAAATTTAGAGAGCTCTCTTGAACATGTTCTAAGATCATCAGCAATCAAGGTTGAAAGGTTCAATAAATGTGTGAAAAAGGAGCCTCTAAAGGCCAAGGCCTATTATTTGCCTATTATGTTTGGATGTTAATCACTACTTGGTGGAATTCTATCTTTAATGTGTTGAATACCACATTGAAATTTCAAAAGGAACTTGAACAAAAGGATGAAATCAAATTAATTAAAAATAATTGAAGAATTTTTATACCAAAAGGGACAAACCACATTGATTGAGAAAACGCAAAAGCTTTTGTGTAGTTTTGGGTCCTATATATATGATGTAATTTTTAAGTTTAGTGGTTTGACCTATATGACCTCCCATAAGTATTTTAGGGAGATTTCTGAAATTCAAGTGGAATTGTATACGTGGCAAAATAACAATTAATAAGAAAGCTGAGTATGAAACGTACTATTGGTAAAAGTAGAGAATACTAATGAGAAGTATTGGGCAGAATAAACAAATTGTTAAGCAATATTTCTTGTCTTATGTGTTTTTGTGATTCTAGTGGATTGCTCGATATAGTTTGTGATTTTTGTTGTGATTTTCAAGTATTTCAGCATGACAATCACCAGTAGCACAGTCGGCCACCGCCAGTATACTAAAATTTTCCTGCCAGTGACCATCAAATATCATGTTAGAATACAGATATATTTTGCCACCCCACTGCAAGTATCATAGTAGGATTGATATGATAGTGATGGGTTGCCAGAATGTTAAGTATCATTCTGTGATACCTCTAAGTATCACGGTAGAATACCTCAGTTATTGGTTGTTGGAATCTTTAGTAATATCACGGTGCAATAGGTCTAAGAATCATAGTATCATAGCGTCGTTCGTTGGCTATTGGTTGCGCGAATTTTTATTATCACGCCACAATACCTTTAAGTATTATGATAGGATACCATCAGTCACCGGTTAGAATTTTTAGTTTCATAGCGTGATACCTCGAAGTATCATGGTAGGATATTGGTAATTGCTACTTGAATGAGGCTGATTGCCAGAGGTTATAGTATCACAACACGATATTCTAGTATAATGGTAGGATACCAGTGGTTACCCGATATTACTGCCAATATCTTAAATATGATAATAATATTGGTATTATAAATATGCATGACATGTTATTCTTTAAAAGTATTTTTTTCGCTCACGGAATAAATCAATGAAGACTTTGTGGCATTTCTGTAGATAGCTTAAGCTTTTTTCTTTTCTTTTTTTTTTCTTTTAAAGAAAATACCTATTATGTGTGTGTGTGTGTGTGTGTGTTTTTTATTTTTTTTTATTTTTATACTTTCATGGCTATGCAATTATTGCTGATATCACCTTCCGCCCAAGGGGACATCTGCCTTTGAAATTTTGCAATTGCAAAATTTATATAGATTCCTTTTGGAAAAAAAAAAAAAAAAACCAAGTTTCAATTATTATACCCTATGTTTTGACTCTTAAATATATTCATTATCTCAAACTTAAAACTCCAATTAAACAACAAGGTTACTACACTACTACATTTTGTAAAGTTTTTACTTTAAAATTCCCAATGGAGACATAGAACTTCAAATCTTTAGTTTAATTTAGGCTCTATTAGAAAAACTATTTTCGCTCCCCTACTGTCTGCAATATGCATAGTTGTAGATGTATTAGGGCTTTTAAGTATTAAACTTAGCTTACATAAATATGCGTTGTTTGATTTTTTTTTTCTTTGTAAACAAGTATGGTGTCCAGCTATATGTTTGATATTTGATGATTCTTTAGTTGGTTTAATATTAATATGGGGTTTTATTTCTAATTTGAATTGTAGTTTTAGCTCGTAGTTCAAGTTATTCATAATTAATTAATTAAAGTAATATATATATAAACTCTTTTTGGTTTAAAAAGATTACAAGAAAATTCTATAAAATTAACGTAGAAACAACTTGAAATCTGTCGCCGAACCTCTTTTTGGTTGGATTTTATTTTTATTTTTGTGCTAAAACGTTGGATTGGAAGCTGCCTTCCGGCACAAAACTCTTGCCGATTTTTTCATTGCAAAATTGCAGTGTCAACAGTTTCAATTACCTAACTGAAAAGGAAGCAACGTTGGAAACCCACATATAAGGGGACAAATTCCATGTTAAACACAACGCTAGTCATGTAGTTACGTCGCGTCCAAGAAGACATATATATGTATAATACGCATGTAAAATAGTTTACAAACAGACAATATGTGAATTGTGAATCACATGTGGATAACCGCGTTAATATTAATTTTGTTACGTAGATCTGTTTTCTTTTTTCTTTTTTTTTTTTCTTTTGGGACAACATAATGTAGTTTAGATCAATTATAACGGCTATAAAGTAGACTTTCATTGCGTTAGCCATATATATTTCGCGGGTCGACGCACATGGTTTTTGGAATTGTTCTATTTTAAGGATGACGTAGGACTATGAGATCTAGGTTTCCTTTGTCACATCATTAGCATGACGCACACTCCTCGAGATAAGACCAACAAAATCAACGGATGTGATTTCTCCAAGTTTATTGATGATTCAACAGATTATATCAACGCTAATAAATAACTAAATAGAATAATCTTTCGATGATCAATTTATAATGATATATAAAATTAAGAGTAACAATTAAAAATTAGATAATTAAACATGTTTACGTAATGTCTATTAATTTAAAATATAAAATAGTACTAGATTCCCTGCAGAAGATATATATGCTCTTTATATAGACAACTATGCCACAGGACACAGAATATATAAAAAATTACCTAGAAATGACGGCCGATTTGTTTCTACTACTTACTAAGTTAATTACAGTCAAATGAAGATAACAAATGTGATACTAATTAGAAGTTGGCGAGCTATCTCTTTGCAGCATTGGCATTCTAAATTATAATTTACCAAGGTGAAAACAGAAAAAAAAAAAAAAAAAAAAAAAAACTTAATTAGGAAGCACAACCAAATGGGTGAAGAAGAAAGGAAAATGAAATATGAAATAAATAAAAAAATGCCTATCATACCCCAGGGTGGGACGCTGAATCCATTGCATCTTGGCATATATATGGCGATGTCATGTGACAAAATTAAAGCAATAATTTTTTGGAATATACGGCGATCATGTGACAAACGCTGAACATTTTGATTGATACACGTCAGGTTAATTAACGTTTACAATATTAAGGGCTTTTCTTATCGTGAATGATTAAGGAAATACCCTGATATTCTTTTTAAAACACCGATGCACGTCATGTTTTAGTTAGTAACTTGACATCGGACCTCAAGTCTATAATTTTGATCATGACACATACAATGGCATCATTCGGTCCCACATCAAAAGGTTTTGTGGCCAACCGTTGAGGTACGTGTGTGATTGTAGCTTGATTACATTCATCAAAAATTGATTCTTACATGTCATTTTCAGAATCCCATGGTTATTTTGGAATCCGGACTCGAGAGAGAACGTTCCTGGCACTGAAGGGGACACATGTCATGTATTCAATCGGTTTAAAAGAATCCCCTAACTCATACTCGCATAATACTAGTTGAATCTCATGGTAAATTTATTGCTAATTATCCGCAATGGATACCCAACGATTAAGCAGCTCCAAAAAATTCTCCTTTGTTGACTAGTCATTTTCTTCAAATCTACTTCACTATATATACATGTATAAAAGTAATACTCTACAAGTAAAAACATTCCTTATTCGGTTATGAAATAATAATATTGTGAAGATAGGATATAATTACAAACCATCAGAATTAGATTCTGTCAAATTATCATATTTTATTTGATTTGGTATGATTATGATTTCATCTCATGGTTAAACACTATTTTGCTTTAAGAGATTATTTTGCATACTAGTACTCCGTATCAAATAAATTTTAGCTAGTAAAAGTACAATTGTGCCACCGAATGATGCAATTATGCATCACACCAATTTATTAGTGTGGTCCACCTAAATGAAATGTTGGGAAGACAACGCATACAAAATTGGTCCAACACAGAGCTCAATTTGACTTAAAAAGTTAACTTATTAGGTCTTGGATACACATGCATTTTTTTTCAACAATCTCCTTTTTATCTGTGTGTTCACCAAGCTCCCCCTCGAATCAAAGTTTCTAGTATCTAGCACATTCAAGCATCACACTCTAAACGGGAGCCAACTCCAGCATGGGAAAAGAAAGCCGAAACCATACAAGTTCACCAATACTCAACCAAACTGCGGGAGCACCAACTCTCCACGGGAAGCAACGTAGGAATTGCAACCGAGTATGATTACTTGGCCTATACGAATCATTAGCTCTAATACCACTTGTTGGGGAGATATCACATGTGAAACTGACGTAACACACTTCAAGAACTAACTTGACCTAAAAAAATTAACCTATTAGGTCTTGGATCCTTCCATGTATATAAACCACTCTATATTCTCATCAGTTTTTCATGTGGAACAACACATACACTTTTTTTAACATGAAATTCATGGCCGGTTCCGGGTCATAAATATGCGCTTGCGCAGTTGTCATTGGCAATATTATTTAATTAACATCACAATAACAAAGCCTTTAAGATGATTGATAGGTATTACTGATATTGGTATTGGCCTATATATTTGGGGTATGATATCAGATTTTTCATTATGCAGTTCAAAATCCTTATTGCAAAAATCAATTCTGCACATAATGAAAAATCTAGTCAGGATTCCGTATACGCGCCACTGATTATTTACATAACATGATCGTCCAAGTGGAAAAAAGGCTTTATCTATTGAGGGTGCCAAGCAAAATGATCAAAGCAACAAAAAGAACTCAGAATCATCAATATCATTCCTTTCTAGGGAAGAAAATTTTCATATCCCCATAAACTACATCTTGCCAAAAACGCAATATGGTACAGAGAGCGAAAACGCTATATACTAAGCAGAAGCAGAGGATGATCATCACTTAAATATATATACGTAGACACGTTATAACTCCATGCATATATAATAATATATATCAATATAGACTTGCTTGAATAGGTTCCTCGTACAAATTACCACCGGTAGAACTAAACAAGAGGTTGGCGTCAAATTCTGAAGAAAAAAACTCCGTGTCCATCAAGGAGGTGAAAAAATCACTTGGGGTATACGAGTTATCTGCCAAAAATGGCTCCGTCCAGAAATTGTCGCTGAATTCTGCATATGCATCTTCCAAGGGGTTACAACAAGAGTCTGCGACCAAGTAATTGTTGGTGCTCGTTTCGGTTGTAGTAATGTTACTAGAATCTGTTGAAATGGTTGAGGCCTCATCACTTGACGATGGCTGTGGCGACATTACAAATGGAGAATTACTATCAAGAATATTGATGTTGTAGGGTAGTGTCTCTGGATTTGGAAAGGAGGTGTTTTCTTTTGCGTCCATTATCGCGCTCGATTGATGTTGATTGGTATTATTAGTAGAATCATTCGGAGAATTAAGAAACGTCGCGTTGTTATCGTTCGAACCCTCCGCGGATTCTACTTCTTGATATGCATGCTCGCCGGAGTTGTGTAGTACTTTTACTCGCTTCTTCAGGTGAGTATGCCAATGGTTTTTGACCTCATTGTCTGTTCTTCCAGGCAACTGAGCCGCAATTGTAGACCATCTGTAAAATCGATTGACATAATATAAATACGAGATAGTGATGTATAATTGTATATACATAGGACAATATTCTCTTCTTGTGTGTAAATTTCCTATTTTCTCCTCTTAAAAAACGAGTCGTTTTCCAATACCTGTTTCCGAGAGATTCATGTAGTCCGATGATGGTTTCCTCTTCTTCCTTGCTGTAGTTGCCTCTCTTGAGATTCGGCCGCAGATAATTCATCCATCGCAATCTGCAACTCTTCCCACACCTTTTGAGACCTGCACCAAAGGAGAAGCTCTACTGGTGTTAATAACAAACCTTTTACAAATTGTACTGATTAACCGAATCAAAAATGAGAAACTAAAGAATGCCCCGATGAACATTATTCTTTAGGAATATTCCGATGTAGTCCCATGAGAGAATTGATGCCGCATAGTATTAGTACCTGCAAACTTGGGAAGTTGACGCCAATTCCAACACCCATATCTAGTCACATACGCCACTAGCTTCCTATCTTCTTCAGGGGTCCATGTTCCCTTCTTCATTCCATTTTGATCACAATAAGGTGTTCTCACCATCTCTCTCTCTCTCTCTCTCTCTCTTTATGTCTTGGAAGTTGGAATTCTTTAGCTAGCTCCAACTAAAACTTGAACGACTCACTAATTTATACAATGTGTTTGATTGGACCAAAACGTGTTTCTTGCCATTTTTTTAATTACCATGATTCAAGTATAATTTGTATTAAAATAACAATTTTCAAAGAAAATATTGAGGCGAGCAAGTGGGGACCACAGAGAAAGTCATGATGTAGTAACCAAGTCAAATTTTCCAATGCCGAGTACACGAAAATAATGGGGAGAAACAGTACTTTCTTTTGTTCTTGGGTTGGGTCCTTTGAGAGTGACCTTTGAGCTATAATATTTCAGGAAACTGGATAGTTGCTTCGTAAAAAAAGATCTCCATGTGTTACACCATGATGCCCTTCTATTGGATCAAATTCAAGCAATTAATCAAAGTATGGGACCGTTGTCACTGATGAAAAATGTACACCACAATTAATCAAACAATTTTTTCTTTCTTTAATTTTTTTTTTTTTTTTGAGAAGTAAATGGTTTTTTTTTTTTTTAATATTATATATATCCTCTCCAAATTTTAGTGCGTGGTTGTGTATATATTTTTATGTTCGTTGTAATATAGATAACAAATGTCAGCCCAGAATTACTTGCATTATAAAAGCAATACAAATGTTGGATGTGAAATGAATGGGACAATATTTTTAAGGTTTTTGGTCTACGAACAGCTAGAATATGTACCATATATATTCACATATGAGCATGGACCAGCCTCTATGATGTTACGAGGAGTAAATATCGTCCAGCTAATTAGTGTAAAAATTCAAGAGAAATAGATATCTGGTATTGATAAAGAAGCACTTAATGGGAGATATATGTACTATAGATAGAAACTAGATTTGTTTCTTTTTATCAAAAGTACCTTACTTTCAACCAAATAAATATAATTTAATAACGTCCTCCTCCACTACAATAATAATCATTCGAATCATTAATATATTTTCTTTAAGAATTAAGGAAGAATATTCTATACTAGAAAAATAGATGACGTGCGTAGATCTCCCCGATGCGATACAGAAATAGATCAGAAGCAAAGATATCGTCAATGGCTCTGAGGCATCTCACAATAATGTAAGCTTTTAGAAACTTATTGTCTTTGGAAATTGCCCAAGATTTTACACAAATGTTTCTAAAACTTTTGTTTTGTTGGTTATAAAACTGGATCTTAAACTTTTGTAAATTTTGGTACTCAATTATTATCTTTTAATTGAAATCTGTCATTCATTGGAATACATTGCCAAAAATTGTAAAATTTAGAATCCAAAATACCAAAATTAAAAGTTTGGGGTGCAAAACGTAAATGACGATAAGTTTAAAGTTCATGAATGCAATTTATCTTTTATTTTATGATTATTTTAAATTAGCAGATTTTGATTAATTAATTAAAGGGTAGGAACATGATTTCATCATGTCCTGAGAAAGAGCCTCAGGGTACTAGAGATATATTTTTAAAACGTCAAGGGTACCATTTTAATATTTTGAGACGAATGAATATCTTCATATATAATAATTGTAAAAACACTAGTTTTTGCATCCTATTTTAAAATTTCCTAAAAATTAAATCTTTTAACTACAAAGCACTGTAGTATACATGACGGAAAGTAGACTTTTATTCATGACTGTCTTGAACATTAATAGTTTAAATTCAATTATATTTATTATTCAATTTTAGGACCTCTTGATCATTTTGGGAGATTTAATAGTCTTACATAATTTAGCTAATTATGATATTGTAATTTGTATTTATATGAGGCCTTCTTAATTGTGCTCGTGACTAGTAAATAATTTTCTCTAGTGTCCTACTCTGTGGATGAAATATATTGTTGAATCGCGTTAAATTATTTATTCTCTTTTGCTTTTATTTTGTTCTTCGATTATTAATAATATAATAGTCATATATACAATATAGCATGCTTGGTTAGGTTTAGTAGCCGAAGATTTTTTTTTTTTTTAAAGAAAAGTAGTCGTAGGTTACCAATAATATTAAGGAGCGCTCTATAGATACAAAAAGATGGATTCTGCAAGTGAACTCTACAACTGGAGACCGCTTTTGTATCTATGTGGATAAATCCTCATTAGGACATAAAAAGATTTTCCAATATTGAGAATTAGATATTTGGTGTGGCATTAAGCCATGTATATAAAAAAGTAAACATGCACGGTCACACCATACATCTAGGTACATATATAGATATTATGAAAATAAGGGTACCTAGATATTTACTTCACTAGTTGAATGATTATAATTTCGAAAAATTGGCAAAACTACTTATTTAAAATAGCCACATTTTTATTATTAGCTGCATCCTTAATCATAGCAGTCTCTTTATTAGAATAGATCGACTTAAACAAAAAGAGTAATACTAAACAAAGTGAGCAATGTTGACCTCACATTGAATTTTATTGGTCAATTCTAAAAAAAATTTCTTACACTCTTTTTGATCCAACAATAACAACCTCAATATCAGAAAGAGGCTATTTTAGGTTTTACCAAAAAAAAAAAACCTTAAAAATCTATTTATTTCGACATTTTAATTTGATCAACTATCATATCATATTTATTTTTTCAAAAAAAAAAAAAAAAAAAAGCTATCATCTCATATTTTAATATATGTTGCCATCGCAATAACTCCGAGTAGCTAGTTTGTCAAATGTAGTATTGGTATATCTATTCTGGTTCTGTTGCTGAAAAAGTAGAAAAAAATAAATAAATAAAAAATCCGGTGAGATCATCTAAGGGCCAATTATTTATGGTTGAGACCCATCCAATACTATTGGCTTGAACGATCGAGAACTTAGCATCCTTTCAAAAGTAATTAGAAAGTAGTTAGAAGAAACAGCTTTGTGTGGGGTCCTGGTTTCATATCAGGTGTGAAGGGGAACTCGTATTTTTGTAGCTTGATACACGTTTCGGGCCTACCATCAAAAAATATCTGTTCACATATATATCGGAAATAACAGAGAAATTAATATCCCACTACCGAAAGGGACAATTTTCATGTGTGTCAAGACTAAAACTCTAGAAAGGCAAAAGTAAGAGAATAAGAACAAGTGGTTATCATATTGTCGTAAAATTACTCCTTAGTAATGGGGTTTTCTCCTGCATGCCGGTTTGAAACCTCCGAAAAAATGTCCAGACAAAGTTTGGAAAGTTGTAAGCATCTTGAAAAAGAATTTTTTTGGCTTGGTCAATGAGCTTTTGTAAAGCTAAAGTTGTGGAACTTGAAAATGCTTTTAGAAATTTCAAAAAAATAAAAAAGCTTTAGAAAATGTAAAAGGTTCTGGAAAGCTAGTGGAGTTGGAAATTTAAGTAGTATAAGATTAAATTGCAATTTTCTTGAAATTTCTGCTTTAATGTGGTTCCATCTAATTTTTCAAAAGGTGGTTCTAGTCATATTCCTCTCTTTACTCTACACACTCCGTTTTAACTGAAATGATAAAAAATGATAATTATTAGATTTTATTTCATCATTAAAATTTATTAAAAGAAAACTAATGATAACTAGTTGTTTCTTTTCCTCTTAACATACTCAACATATCATATGCCTACACTATACCTATTGCTATTATGTAATCTAGAACAAAAACCTGATTTCCATCTCCCTATTCCAAAAAATTATATAGAGGTATATTAAATTTTCTTGATTTATATTTGTTGTTTGACGACTGTTTTTTGTTTTTTGTTTTTTGTTTTTCGCTTTTTATGGTGGGATTGGTTGTGTTTTTCCATTTCATTTCTCTTTTTTGGTTGTTTATGCTGATATGCGGTTTTATAGATACTGGGTTTGCATTTTCCCTTTGCCATTGTCTTTTCTAATCGGTTTTCAATTAACATAATTTTATGTTGCCGTTTAGTTTTTAGTAACTTGTGCCTTCTTCTTTTTCCTTTTTTTTCCTGGATTCTTTATTTTGATTCTATTTTTGGTTGAAGCTTTGGGTAAAAAATAAATAAATGCAATATTAAAGTAACAACTAAAAAATATTGTGGGTGTAAAAAGAAAATTAAATTGATTGAGAATGAACAATTTTATAATATATAGTTAGGGGTGATCTTGAAATAATAGAGATGTGTAAAAAATAAAGTAAATTATTTAAAAATTATGTGAGGTGTGTAATTAAAAAATGAGTGAATAGAACCACCCTTCTTCAGCTTTTACCCGTCTGGGTAAAATATTATTATTTGGTTTGAACATGTATTATCCCTTTAACTCTTAACTTTCCATGTTAATGTCTGGAGAAAGCATGGAGTGGGTGGGTTGACTTGGAAGTCAAAAAAGGAAAGGAATTTCTTCATACATATATACCTAGTCAAGGAACATTGTTATTACACGTTCTCACTTTTTCCCCATTTCTCTTCACCTTCCGAAGGCACAATTTTATTTTATTTTTTTATTGTAAAAAGGTGTTTAGAAAAATAACAAATACAAATAATCAAAGTTATATACCTTTGGATCCATCTCAAACCGCAAGCTGCAGTAAGTCTTAGTATATTAAAAGGTGAATATATAGCTCAGCTGGTACTCATTGTCCCTTTCTATTGTTTAATTTTATGGAGAATATACACACATATTTATATGATATGCAAATGGCATGTGTATGCATATATGTATATTATATGTAGATGACAGATAAAAATAAGCATAATCATATATGTATATGTGTCATGTTTATGTATATATGTATATTATATGTAGATGGTCCAATTGGTTGTCCGGATAAGCCAAATAATATTCGAGCTTATATAGAAGACCTTGACTATCATTGAATAAGGATAAAAAAAGGAATCTTAGCTACTAGATCAAATGCTATAAGGATAAGTCAGTCTTTTTTTTTTTTTTTTTCAAAGTCTATTGTTTCACAGAGTGGGAACTTGAATAATGCAGTGATAAAAAAGAAAAATTGACCCATCATATTCTAGTAATCTTTAATAAATGTCTCATGTAATCTAAGCATATTAACTATATACATACTTTTCCACAGGCAATTCAGTCCTGCGACAAGTATTTGA